GTTGTACTCTTTCTCCCGTGTACTCCCTTATTCTCCATCAAACCGACGCTCTCTTCGTCACAATTGACCACGTACTGTGCCTCAGGCACGTTCCTCTCGTGGACTCCTCTGTCTTCTCTTTTATCATATTTTTTGCACCAGACAGCTTCCTTTGCCTGGGTCATAGGGCTGCTAGGAATCTCACCTTGTTCCACGCAAAGACTCAAGCTGGTCGGTACATCACGGAAAGCTTCCTCTTTTTCAAAGTCGATGGTAGAATTTCCAGGATTCATGATGGGAGCAATCTCTACACATAATGCTTTCCTTTCCTTCACCTCACATATATTTTCATCCGGCACGCTGTCGATCGCAGGTTCGCTAGCTGAGCGCATTTCTGCGCAGATCTTGGTGAGATCACGCAAAGTTTGGCTCTCCGGCTCTAGATCGCCGAGAGAAGCCGGACCTTCTTCGGCGCACACGCTCCTAGGTGGTTCCGGCACGTGGCTCTCCTCCGCGGAATCGAATTCCTGACTGGAGTTAATGTCTTCCTCATCGGCCGATACAGTAATCACGGTGCCCAAAGGGTTGACGACTTTAGTTACCGGTTGACCCACCCTCTCAAATACCGATCGCCTCCCTAGTAACAGAAAAAGCCGTTGGCAGGTATCAATATCGAGTCACAATATCTCCCTTATTTAATTTTTTGTTTGCTCTTTTATAAGATACATCGCCTGAGGTATAATGATGTGTTCTTGTTCTCGAAACGGCTCGACAATGAAGGAGATTTCAAGTGACATCTTCGACTACTAATTGAAATATTGCATTGTGAGGGAATATAGAGTTACGAGAATGGAGGAAGGAGAGATAGAAAAAGAAAAAAAGACAGAAAGAGAACGAGAGAGAGAGAGAGAGAGAGAGAGAGAGAGAGAAAGAGAGAGAGAAAGAAAGAGAGCAAGAGAAAGAAGAATTAATCGTGACTTCTAATGTAAAGCTGATACTTGGTCCGAATCTTCACACTGCACACCACAAAAACACAAACTTCACGTCACAATATACGTGTCGAGATCAAGTGATATGTTATTAAGAGAACAAGTTCGAACGATTGCTATCGAACTGTATGATTTTCTTTTGTATTCTTTGGAATATAAAAAGGAAAAGATTCTTACAGGGTTAGTAGACTGCTCACAGCCTTTCAACCATTTACCTCGACTCAAAGGGTAGACGTTGATAAAATGTATCGCTGTTAGTGATTAGATGTAATATCATTAAAGGGGAGGGGGAAAACGGAGATACCTGCCTCTGGCCAGTTCTGTATCCACACAAACTTACAATCTAGTAATCATCCATCACCAAATGCAGAAAGTACGAGTTTCGTACCCTTATTTAAATACGTGCTTACAAAAATTGTAATATACTCCTAACTTCGAATTAATGCAAACTTCTAAAATAAAGTGAAATATGATCTAAATTGTTTTAGAAAAATATGATTATAAACATTGAATCATTTTCTATAAATATTAAGAAAATTTAGCCACGATAACAATTAACTATACTGCATTTAGCAGGAAGATTTTCACGATTGTAAGAACCATAAATTCGAAAATGTATTAAAATCGTGTATTTGAGGCACTCAAAAATATATGTTTCAACGATTCAAATCATACAAAATGCTTTCATTACCCTTACCAATTACCACGATGTATACAAATTTTACGAAATATCGACAAATGGGATATATGTCGGGATTCGTACTTTTCTACTTCAAAGCAAAGCACCACACGTTTCATATGATTACTTACCTGGTGCACGGTGTGGTGCAATTGACGTCTCCAGCATAGCTTCAGCCAGATCTTCTCTCAATTGATTTTCACCGCCACCAACACCGACATTTTCACTATCTAAGGGATCACCGTATGCTTCCATAAATCTTGGGGACTGCTCATAACTACCTAAACAATAAATGAAATGTCACACAAATTCCATAAAATCATCATATTATGAAAAATTGTTTAAATCTAATAACTTCTATATTTTATATATTTAATACATTTTAAATATATGCAACAAATATTTAAATACAACTGAGTGGAATTCTAAGTCTAACATATTTACATTTTTATAAACTTACTTCCTGATCCATCAATGACCACGGGTACCAACGATCTGGATGCAGCGTGCGGCATGTTGACTGGATTCGATCTCGCAGGGCGAGATCCTCCGGTTACACCAATTTCAACGGCCTCAGCTTCCACAAGATTCACAGGAGCTCTATATCAATAAAGTTTAATTTTATAACAAATTTAAAAGAAAACAAAGTCACACGTATATATTTGTAAAACTAACCCACTAGTTGCGTTGTAAGTTTTGAAAACAAATTGTGGTCCCATCCAAAGACGTCTATGTGGACCAGCGTGCGTTACAATTTCTACTTGACTTAACCAACGATCTTCCGCTAAATCGCCATCTTGAATATCTTTTGGTATCGTATTGATACTCAATAAAGAACTAGAAGTTGGCAAAGGTGGCACAATCTCTAAGGAATTTGGAGATCTTAAAAGGGGCCATTGACCCTTAGCTTCGACATCTAATTCTATCATCGTATCGTCACATACTTTTTCTTTTGGTACACCTAAATTATGTTATAATATCATAATCTTTAATATGTATTGACATTAAATTCTTTCAACAACCTGGCTTACAGATTAATATCATATTCACCTGCAACTGGTTTAGGTTCTAGATCATATTGTATCATATTTCCGTGACATGCCATAATGAACAAAGAGTCAACTGCCCTTTTCATAACTTTTGCTGTTGACTCTCTTTGTGCATACATCCAAGCTCTTGGTGGTGCAAAGCAAGCGCATATTTTTAATGGCAATGTTCCACTATCATCTGAATGCAATCGTTGTCGCTGCTGCGGCCTACTACATAATATAAGATATAAATAAAAGTACAGAACGAAATAACTGTAATTTCTATAAATAATTTAAGATTACCTCTGTTGAGCTTGACTGTTTATGTGATTTAACGTTGATGGTTGTCGTATCTGTGCCAAAGGGTGTAGGACAGTTGGATGAGGATACGGAGGAAGTCTTGGATTAGAATATGGATATACTGATAAAGGCAACTCTGTATGAGATACGGGAGAATGAGATCTGGTGCCGTCATCCATTAAACCTGCACTTCTATGAAATCTTGAAAGTCTATTTACAACATGAGGTGTGGAATGAGTTCGTATTCCTACCGGACCACCGTATGGTGCAACGGGAAAAACATGGGTAGTGCCCCGAACAGTTGAAATTGCCGCCCAACGAGTATCACTCGAAAAAACCATATCCTACCACAGTAAAATACAAATCATGAAGACATATATTAATATATAAACTTTTACAGACATAAGTTGCAGATGTAAAAATCTAATTTAAAAATAAACATACCTGTACTTTTGCAGTAGTATCTCCACGATGTAAAATATACAAATGATGTACTGCTGCCAAAGTGGGACCACCTGGATGTGGCTGAATTCTAAATATGTGAAAATCATGCCCTCTTTTATCAGCGGTCATTAGTAATGCACCACTTAAATCAAAAGTCATGGCAACAATTGCATCACTATGGGCAGTAAAATGAGCAATTACAGTCTCTATATTTGCATCATCTAACTCTTTTTCCTCTTTTGCAGCTTGGAGATCTAATATTGTAATTACTCCTGGTTGGGTTACATCGCTGCCCATATTATTAATGACTACCGGTGACACTGAATTGCCAGTTAAACTGGAAGCAACAGTTTCTCCCAAACCACGCAAACCTTTTCCTAAAGACTTTGCCGCGTACAGAACAGTCGCTGTGTAACTTTGAACTCCCTCACCTTCACAACCACCACTACTTCTTTTGGCTGGTAGTAACTTCTTTTCACTAAAAATATTTTTTATTAGAGAAATCGCAATTCACTTAAAATAATTATTAAGATTTTTAAATGTTCGTAAAAGTCTTACCTGTAAGCAAGCCATCTTGTTCCTAAAGCAACAGGATTTGGATTTGGACCAGGGCTAGCATAGCATGTAGTAACTGTTAATACATCTTCCAATGTTCGAGCATCAAACACCGCGATTTTTTCTAAAAATGTTACTACTATGGATCGTTTATTTGCCAAAACGTCACAAACAGGATTTTTAAACTTTATGCTTTTAGTTTGTTCCCCAGTTTTCAGAGAAATGAAACTTATGTTGCAAAATTGTGGTCCAGGTCCAGCTGAATCACATATTGCTACCATTGGCCGTTTCAATTCAAACAAATCAACATGTTCATCATCAGTCTTTGGATTTGGTAAAATTCTCAGAGTACGAATCACTCCTTGTCGCCATGATAACACTTCAGTTGCTTCTCCTGTTGCTGCTATCAACCATACCTATATTAAGCAAAATATATTACCTTGTGTCTTTAACATTGCTTTTATAATGACATTACAATATAAGATATGACATTATATTCTATATAATTACTATATGGGTCTTATAAACAAAAAGTTTGTAACTAGAATTAAATATATAAATTCTTTTATACAATTGAACTTCAAATATCATATTATTATCTCTGCAAACTACATGTACCTTTTTATTTTGATAATGAATGTGCTTGTTTACATATTATGCCTCCTAGATAAAATAAGATTCAAGTCATTCATAAACACAGACACAGTTTTAAAGATACTACAAGAACAGTGTTCTATAATTAGAAACTTGATAAATCTATAAAGGCCTTTTATACTCAGTATCTAATACATACACTTAAATTGAATCATTTGTCAATTTATATATATTCATATGTACTGTTTAAATTTTACTTTCTACTTTATCTTTGTCTAAACTACATATCATTTGTATAAAATCACAAATATATTATAAAATTATTTTAACATACAAAATCTTTCAATGTAGTAATACAACAAGTAATATAATAATTTAAAAGAAAAAGGAAACAAATATAAAAGATCAAACCTGAACTCCAGTTGTATAACCAAGCACCAATAACAAAGGTGGTGTATTAGAGCCTTCATTGTAGTCTGGATATAGGACAGGATCATTAATGTCTGCATACTCAAACCGTGCCCATGATATAGATTCCTTGTTTTCAGAATTTGGTGTGCCAGCATAAGCCTATATTTCAACAATAAAATATGTACTCTAATAAAAAGTTTTCGAAAAGATATTTTAATGTACCAACCTGTGGAACAATATCATTAATTATTCCTGCAACACTATCTATAATTGAACGATCAACTATTGGCTGAGGTGATACAACTTGAACTCCTTTATGCACACCACGCCTTGGAGAGTCTGCAGACATTTTTTCTTCCCAAACTGAATATTTTTACCTACAAATAAATATATATAAAATAAATATTAATTACATAGTATTAATATAAATCTTTCTTTTTTTAATTTAGTACAACTAGAATAGTTAAATAATTATTTTTAACATTCAATAATTGAATGATAGAAAGAAATTATATTCTCATTGTATAAATATGTGAAAATATTGTAATGTACAATTATATATTATATTTATTAATATGAAAATATAATAAGAAAACAATACTTGTTGATCTTTTTAAACAATCAGTGAATAATAATTTCATTGAACATAACATTTTACATCATTTAATCTTTTCATTAAAAAATTGCTCAAAATTAACAATTTTATTATAATACATGTGTAAATTATATATATTTTTATAAAAATATAATTTAAATATATGATATATTATTTCAATATGAAATAGATAACTTACATATATGTATATATGTAAATTAAAACATTATGTAGATCCACGATAGATATCTAAATCAGTAAATGTTTAAAAAACATGTAATAACATGAAAGAATTTGCATACATTGCATATTCAACATTTATTTGTCTAAATATCAAATGTATGTAACATACATATTTCTATTAATAACAATACAATACATAACAAATAAAAATTGAGCAAAATGAAGAAATTAAGAATTAATTCAAGGTAGAATTATTATTTGTACAAAAGAATGTATAAAGTACTATTTGTATATCTGATAATACAAAAATGAGTAACAGCAAAGTAGTGGGAGAATCTATTTTGCCTGTTAAAGAATATTACACAATCTACTACAGCTGTTCGACGTGTACGTTCAGGGACGATTAATAAAAAGCAAATACAAATGTCAAAACGATGATGAAATGAAATTTTAAATAATTATCGTTAAAATAGCATAAAAATAATAAATTTACAAAAAATAAATTAACACTGTAACATTAAAATAGCGACCCTGACATTTCGTTGAACAAAGGGGTAGAAGGCAATTTTTTCACAACAAAGCTATCGTTTTTCTCTGATATCGTTATTACTTGTCTTACAGAAAAATGTCTACATTTTAATAGTTTTTAAACTAGCAGAAAGCAGAGTCTTCAATTTACCTCGCCATAAAACTGTATTTTCATACTGGGAAGCTCGCCATCTCTGAGACGACCTTCTACTGCGTCATTCTGTGAGTGACTGACACAACACAACCAGAAAATGATAGTGATGTCACCCCGCCCGCGAAACGTCAATCTTTTTATTCGAAATATTCAAGCGCGTCGGTACTCTTCTTGGTTTGCGATAAATTGTCAGACCCGTTGTCCGTTTCGACACACCGACGAGGATGTTCGGAAAAGTCGTTCGTTAAAAGGTATCACGTATCATAACTACGGCAACGGTCTGTTTCGTTGGAAATACGAAAACAATAATCAGCTGATTCAGATAAGGAAATGGTTGGAAAGGAGGGGAGAATAAGAGAAAAGCAAACCACGAACTGTGGCATTCATATCTAAGATATATCTAGATGGCATAATCAGCGTTAAAATTCAATTTTATCTGTAATGCTAACAATCAGTGTGTTTGTAAAGTGTGTAAATGGACGATTATGTGTTAATCAACCTTTTAACTTAATGGAACAACCATTTGAACTAAAACCAAATAGCCCTAAGTTGATTGCAAACAGCAAGACATTTCCTTTCTTACTGAAAGATAATAGAAAGGGACATAATTTGTGAACATTTATTTGCACGTAGTGAGAAAGTTACGATTATTTTAATAAATAAATTGAACGTATAATGATACAAGATGAAAATAATTTCATTTGTTATCATATTGGTACCACTGTACTAAACACTGTTTCAATACAACCTCAATATGATAAAATGAAATGCACTTTGATTAAAAATTTTATAATACAGTAGTGTCATTAACGAGAAAAAGAATATAAAGTTATATTATATATAACAAAAACTGTAATTCAAAAAAATTATAAATATAGTTACATTAATCGATGTATTTTCTACGTAGAAGTGTTCACTGCTATATCGTCATAAAAATTGCTTTGAAAGAAGAAAGGCGTGTTCGTAATACACAACCACTTGATGCTAACGCCACCTAGGAGTTTAGTACTATTTAAATTGAATTGGTACGTGAAAGGAATAATAAATATTTATTTAAAACATTGTAGTAGCGAATCTAAATTAATTATTAATAATTAATAAGATATAATTAATCGATAAAAATTTATTGCAACTTCAAATTTACTTGAAAACTTTCTAAATATCGATTACAAATAAAAGTAACTAAAAATTGATTGTCATTCAAAAATTTTTGTTAAAAAATTTATATTTCTATACTTCGTAAACTCATAAAAGCTATATACTATATTTTGACATATCTATAACATTAACTTAGCATGTTTATATTGCATGCTACTTCATAATTATGTCATTATGTTGTAAATAAGACTAAACTTGATAGGCACGCACATTCTATATCGTATATAATTATACGACAACACATAAATTTAGAGCCAACGTACCAATTTTTCAATTAAATAAATTTCATAATACACATTATTGTTGATTAATATAAAATATAAATTTACATAAATAAAGAGTATAAAATAATTAAAATGATAGAATATTACTGAACCTTACTGTAATCATATTCTTATATCAGAGGAAAAGAAAACTCAATTTCTAATACCATAAAATGATACGGAAGTAATACATTACACGAGGCCTCGTTATATCTCCATCATTCAAACAGAAGAGAAAGAAATTGCCTTCCTGTTGTCCCATAATCGATTTAATATGTTCAAAGATTAAATTTATATCTTTTGACAGGAGCTTTATAATTTAGCAGCATTATCGTGCAACTATTCATGCGGCTCGATAAATCGTGCTACCTTATGAAGCATTATACCAATACACGCGGCTATAATTACAGAATACAGCGTAAGATTAATATTTCATGCCGATAGCAATGCATAAGAAATTCTTACCGTGGAATCCTCGATCCTCTAGTGCACTGTAATTATCTGTGCGTGTATTTGTGCAGCGAGAAGCCACCTTAATCGGTAGAGTTTGCGTGTCCTCCATGTCACCGATGTCCCCGTGTAATAAATCGGAAGGCAATGGTCCCCCGACTTCAAAATATACGATTTCTACAGTTCTTCTTTGCACATCGTTCAAGATAGATCAAAGAGATCGTGATTTAACTTCAGTGATATCATAAGATAAAATAATTTTTCAAAAGAATATTTAATAATTCAATCAAATATGTTACGGAGAAAAAGGGTACTTTACGTTTTTATTGAAACTTATATCCACGATTTTATATTCATTGTAAATTATAATTAATTTAAAAAATTTTTAAATTATGCTATGTTAATTTATTCTACAGAAATTATTGTATATCTCTAATCATTGGTGTATTACAAGTTGTATTAAGTTACTGTGATTTAAATGTGGTGTACCGAAAATGCTTAACTTTTTATAGGGTGGTTTAAAATCTGCACGGAAAATGGCCAAAAAGACAACGCCCGCAGCATTACAAACTGAAGTTTCTAATAATGAAGAATGGGAGAAACTTCTCACAAGAACGGGTTTAATAGGAATGTATATATTATTTATTTAAAATTAAATTTGAATAAAGGTTCTGAAAATGTTATATATCAATTTTTTGGTAATCTTTTAGTGGTCGATATATATTCGGAATGGAGTGGACCTTGTACAGGGATGGTGAGCACCCTTAAAAAAATTAAGATGGAAATTGGAGGAGATGCGTTAAGTTATGCAACGGTAATTTCTAATTGTAAATAACTGTTAATTAAAAATAACTAATTATTATGGTTATATGTGTAGGCAAAATGTGATTATATTACTGACTTGGAGCGTTTTCAAGGGAAGAGTGAGCCGATATGGATGTTTATACACGTAAGTTCGAAGTATGACTGAAATCAATTATATTCGCAATAAAATATAAAATATGTATTTCAAAATAATTTTTATTTAGAATGGTCGAATGGTAAACTTGATATTTGGTGCCCAGTGCCCGCAATTATTAAAAGTGTTAACATCAGAATTGCAACGAGTACAAAATAGCGAAGAACATGAGTATGTAAAATATATAATTATCCTATATTACTTCTATTGAAAAATAATAATGAATAACTTAATTTTAAATAACGAAAAAAATATTAACATGATTTAAAAATAGTTACTTTCATATTATACACGTACAGGTTTTCTATAGATGTATCGGAAAAAAGTCCGGAAGAGATAAAAAGATTAAAAATTATTGAAGAAACTAGAATAGCTAAAGAAGCAGCAAAAAAGTCTCGTAAAGGTTTCGCAAAATTATATTGTTTTGCACAATTCAAATAAAATCCACTATTATATACTATAATACTTATTTATTTTTAATTGTTGATTTACTTTAAACCTTATTTTAAGTTTTAAGCTAAAAGAAAACATCTTGCTGCTCATATGATACTTAGTTTTGCATGCTTTATTGAAATAATTCAAATAATATATTTATTTACTAAATTTATTATTATAGAAGCTGAAGTTGTAGCCCGATATGAAGCCGAAATGTTGCATCTGACCACTTCATTAAATAAAGAGACTTGTCTTTTACTTTATCCATGGGTTTTTAAAGATGAAGAAGGCCATAAAAGAGACAAAAAATCAAGTCCACCATACGTGGAATTAGTTGATGAAATACTTCTGGGTAATTATACTATTGAGCAAGAAATACGAAAACGACTTAATGAAAATATTCTGGCCACCATGTTTAATGAAGTAATATATTATGTTTTTAATAAAAAATAGCGATTATTAAGCAACTTACGAAAAAATACTATACTCATTATTAAACAATTTTACAGTCTAATTACATATTACCACCAAATTCTAAACAACTGCTTCTAGATGGGAAATGTATGTTTATGCGATTAAAAATTAATGAAACAAAACCTGAAATTGATATTCATAAATACTTGTTAAGTCTTTTATTTGGAGAACCGAAATTACCCAATGTAGAAACGATACTTAACGAAGAATGGTAAGTAAATATGTAGAATACATACTTTCTAATAAAATTTCGAAACTTTGTAATACTTATTTAATACTTTCTTTTATTGTATATAATATTCATATCGGTTCATAAAAGTATTCATTCAAATCATATATTTTTCCACATGTTTCGTAATTCTAAAATTAACTTCAGATTTAATTAAATATTTTGTTGATTACAGCTTCGCTACACGATATCGACCTGCCTATATAACAAGTGAAAATGAAAATGAAATTTTTCCAGCTGTTTGGACACCATTAAATTGTAGAAATAAAGCAATTGTTTTTCGCACAATTTTTCCCACTTATACTAATAATACATATCCTGTAAGTATAAACTTCAACATTTGTAAGACAAGTATAACATTAAACAATATACCTATTTCATCTTTAAAGTATGAAGATAAAACCATGAATGTACCTATAGTAGTATTCAAATATGACTACACAAGAAAGAATGAGTTAAAAATGGTTTTAGAAGAATTTGAAGATGAAGTTATTAATTTTGGCATTTTTGAATCTGATAAACCACCAGAAGCAAAACTTATAGCAAAGAATATTACAGAATTAGAGTTAAATGCACGAGAAAGGACAGGGTAGATATTAAAAAAATTTTGTAAGAAATATGAGTTCTAATAATGTATCAACATTATGATTGAAGATAAGAATTTAATATTACTTTTTAGATACGAGACATTTGTATGTGTTGTTAAAAAAGTTGGATGTGAAGCATTTTTAGGGTTTGCTGGCATTGGACCTTATCATGTAAGTGAAAATCCAGAGAAAGGTATAGAGGAATCAAAGCTATATTTTCCGGATGTTACTGCTTTAGAAGAAACACAATCAGATGATGAAGAGAAACCAGAGGAAGAATTAACAGAACATTCTGAAGAAATTAAAAATAGAACTACATAAAATTTAATTACCCATTACTATTCTGAAACTTATAATTCAAATTATTATATGAAATTATTTTATAGAGATAGTTTAACTTTTTATATCAGGTTTAATAAAATGTAAAGGAATTAATAATATATGAAAATCTTGTTACCAATCCAACATTTATTTTCCAGCCATCTCAACTTGCTATATAAAATATGTAGACAAAATGCCTAGGTACTGCAAGTTAATTTAAACAGATGGTATAAAATAAATGATGGCAAATAAACAAAATTTATTTCTTGTAACCACAGCTTCGCCTTCGACCTCTTGCTCTTTCAAACTTTCGACCTTTAGAGCGTACTAATGGTTTTGTATGAGAATGTGGTACACCAGGTGCAGGTCCAAAATGTTTCACTGCTTCACGTGCTTTACGACGACCCTGCATTAAAACTGTTCGTTTTCCAATAGGTGCACGTAATGCTAACTGATCAAACGTGATCAATTCACCTCCAGCTTTCAATATACGAGCTCTAGCTCTCTCAGTAACACGTAAAGCACAGACCTGTATATATAACACATAAATAAAATACACTACACATTTTTAATAAATAAAAAAAATTAATAAATCCAACTGACAAATTAAATAATAGTTCAGGAATAAAATAAGATTTATTTAACAAAAGCAAGGGAAAATATTCTATAATAAACAAAGATTATATCCTGTTACTTACAGTAAGTTTAGGAATTTCAAAGATCCTAGCATCATCTGTTACTGTTCCAACAATTACTGCAATAGCGTTTTCTCGTTTAGGCTTCTTCATAAATCTGACTATACGTGCAAGTGATATAGGGGGACGGTGTATTTTGCTCATAAAAAGTCTCTTGAGGATAATCTTATTAAACTTAGAATTTGTACGTCTAGCCAGAAAGCGGTATAACTATAACAAAAATAAATTCATAGACCTTTATATTAACCATTAATATTAATGTAAGTTTTTCATAAATTTACAAAATTTAATATATTACATAAATATTTATTTAGTATATAAAATGAAAAATTATCAGAAAAAGTATAAAACTACAAAAATATAAATGAATGAAAAGTTGTTTATACGTACTTCAAGACAAATAAAAATTAATAAATCGGACTAGAATAGAATAATGAATTATATATCTCCCAAGAAATATGAACTTTTGTGACATTTTTGTACGAAATTGTGTCAACTAAAATAATCGTCTTTTGTATAATAACAGAATGCCGGAATAGGAAAGTTGACTAACTTTTTCTAGCGAACGTTCAAATTGAATCAGTCTATAACAGACCTGACACAGAGTGCAGTTCGCAAAATAAATTTGTCTAAATTAAACCTCACGTGTTTATGACAACAATATAGAATTACTTCAACAGTAATACACAATTGACCGTTAACAAAGGTTATGTTAAACTTTAACAGTATTTTTTAAACGAAATTTAAAATGTAACATAAAATTAAAACTGTAATATAAAAAGAATATCTGAGAATCCACGTGGAAATACTCACTTTAACGAGAAGTCGTAAGTAGACATCTTGCGATTTAGGTTCTATACGCCGAACTTTCCTATCGTGTTTATGGTTTATGTCGATACCCTGTAAATGAAATGCTTTTTGTTAACTTTCTTTAACACTCTTCAAATTTAATTAAAAACTTAATTCATTTTGATTGTCACAGATGAATCAAATCTTTATTGATTTTACGAATATAACGATGTTGCCGCACCATCTTACCATTTTGATAAACCGGAAAAGAAACGGTCGAGCTCATACGCGTATTAGATAGAGTCTCATGTAAACGGATGTCCAAGAGGGCGCTGTACGTGATCGGTAAAGTTTATACAAAGAATACTAACTATATAAAAACTATAGAATGAATGACTTAGTCATAAATTTGCATTAAATCTTATTCGGAATCTAGGTATATATAACAACAGGTGCAAAAATAAATAATTTTGTTTCTTTACTAGATTACTTTAGGTTAGTTATTTTGATATGTCAGTTGTTGCACTTCAGAATCAGAATTGCCAAAACAAGAAAAAAAATTGTATAATACAAATTTAAAAAACTACTATATGCGATCATTTAAGAAAAGTGCATTTTCACATTTACAGACATTCACACACAAAAAGGAACGAAACATATTAAAAGTATTTTAATTATTAATTTAAATTTTATACTATAGTAATCAATATGCTTAATACATTTTTCAAATACATTTTAAAAAGCATCTTTTTCTAATCGATTACGTGTCTTTGATTAAATATATTTCGGTTTAAATTGAAGTACTCAAATTAAAATTAAATTATATGGAAATAAATTAATTATAACTTATATTATATAGTACTATAAAATTTCAATATTCAGTTATACAAAATTTTCTAATGAATTATATTTTAATATAATATGTATTAGTTTTTGTTTATGCAATTTTTTATTTTATTTACGTTTTGAAAAAAGTACTATATAATATTAATTGATATATTTTTAACAAGAATTGATTTGTAATAGATGTGTGATAGTGAATGTGTTCCATTTACTAAAATCAGTAATTAAATGATTGTAATAAATGCAATACAAACGATAAAAACAATTGTAATATCAATTAAAGTTTTTAATTATCACACCAGTATATAATTCGCGCATTTTTGAAGTAAAAGATAAAAAAATATTTATTTTCTAATCAGACTCACGTCTTTACTAATTTATTTATAATCTATTAGTATAGTGTTAGCTACGTGTTTAATTAACATAGTCAATCAAAATAATCGTTATTTACATATTTATTAAATATTTGCTTTATACTTTCAAAGAAGAATGCATTCATGCTATTTACATGTACGTAGCAAAATGATAAAAATGCAGAAAATACATAAAAATAACTAGTTCTAACAATTTAGAAGAAAAGACTTAAAATATTTATGAATGGAACATGAAATACTGTTTGAAGTTTTAACTGAAAATACTTTTTTTCACTAAAAATTAAACATATGAAATTTCACCTTCATAATATATTTTCTTATACTCCAAAAAACATTTATTGTAAGTACAATTTCCTGACACAAGATAGCGCTGATGGTGTTCCAGTAATTGGTCCGTCAGGTTTCAAGTTTCACATAAACAGTATATGCCGTGACTTCGGTGTGTTCGAAGCAGTTTAATGTTCGAATGCGCGCAAGTACAGAAATAGCTGAGATAATGGTGAGATAATTTCTTTCAATCACAATTCAGAATAGCACGTTCTTATGATTATCCGTACACAGCTTGAGAAAAACCTCCACAGTATTACGTGAGCAAGATTCGAGTACCATCCTTTTGTAAAACGAATCCTTTAACGAGGGATAATGTTACAAGTGTATTACTCCATAAATGCACGTGCTTCGTTAAATTCACAACACAACAGGCCGAGTAATTAAATGATAGAAAAATGCCTGAGAGAATGAAAGAAGCTACGGGCGAAAATTAAGTCGTTAAGTGGTTGGACATCAATACTTTTCCTTAAATGAACTCATACGAAGCAACAATTCCTTGCGGTGACAGGGAAGAGAACTTCATCAACAAAGAAAAGAGATGTCTGTTTATCGTGTGCTTTAATTATCATGATAATGACCTGTCTATGGTATGATTATCAGAGTGATTCATATTTCTTACTGAATGAAAGACAATCATCAGCGTGTCATGGAGGACGATGGCCAAGTGCATTCTAGCACTCTTCTCGAGGAAACCTTTTACGTTACATCCAAGAAAAATACCTATTACAAGGTGAGACTAACAGAAAAGGGTCTCAGCTTAGAAAAGGACAGTAATGGCGCGACGAAGGTTGAAACGATCGTTTTAAACGACATAATAGGGTGCAGATGTATGCGTTCGAAACGCAAAAGCGCGGGAAGCTGTGTTTGTGGCCCAGGTACCTCGAGGTCTCAATTCAAGCTGGTCGAGCCTATGGAAGCGTATCAATGCTATGACGAGTTCGATACCTCGGCCTATCTTTATATTTATGCTTATACACTGAAGAAGGCACGCATGAAAGGTATCAAGAGACGAGAAAGGACCACGATAACGCTACGGTTCCGCAGCTTTGACAAGTATGAGGATAATCTACGGGAGGCCAGCAGGTGGCGATTAGCTATAAAATGTCTCATTGTTGGCGTGCCTGTGCCTAAAAGTTTTATGAGTCCCAGTCACGAGAACCTTGAGTCGTTGATTAGTGGTGAGTTCAAGTCTTTTTTCTCCACTATTACGAGACAGTCACGTAGCAATTTGACAAATTGCACAATCGTCGATTGTGTTTTTTTTTATTTTTTATAATGAAACGAATAACTTGTTTGACGCTGACCACAATAACGTTAGATAATCGACGCTTTAGGTTATGAAATCATTAAACGTAAAAGAAGTTCATTAAAATTCTTATTTGCACAATTATGATATTATGGATGACCGAATTAAAGAGGTATTAAAAATTAAATACTAATCTTGATGACGCGAACACACCTTATCAAGAACAAAATAGCTGATAACTGGAAAAAGGTATTATAAAATGGCAGATAATTAAGTAGAAAATATCTCTTACTAATATTTCAATTAATATGCAGTTAATTATTCTATGTTTGAATATAATTTATACATCGGACCCTTATCTTTTTTATATGGAGGTTATCTAAAATTTATATTTGCAGATATAATTTCGCTTAAATTTTAATATCTTGTTTATATATATATATGAGTTTCAAAATGTACATGTAGAGCAAAGAATCGGAATGCGGAGAGCTTTCTATCGCATATCTAACATATGCAGGCCAAATGCCAATGTTTCTTTACTCGAGTAGATCTAGATAATAGTATGTGTTTAAAAAATTGAATGCCTTTTTTTGTACATCACTTTTCGTATAATTATCGTATATTATTGAGTCAACTAAACCAAACAAATATCTTCATTCTAAAATTTTATCATTTATAGTACTCGTTTATTTGTTTGTTAACTTTTTAATAACCTGGTATATTAATATTATTTAAATAATGTTATCACAATTTTTTAATAATAAATTGCATATGATTTCATCTAATTTCCTACCAAGCTAATGTTAAAACAAAAGAACGATTATAGTGTCTTAAATTTTTAGAGCGGTTAATGTATTTGAGATTCAGCAGAAACGATTATGTGATTCCAGCTACAAAGTATATTATACGCACATGTACAATCTTCTTAATTATACGTAGAGGAATATTGGAATATAAGTAAGAGTTATACATTTTTTGCGTTGGTTCGTTAACGTAAACATTAGGACATTCCATTTCTTGTTTCTTTTTTCTAAAAAAAAATTTCAGAATGAATATTATTAATTTAAATATACGGAAGGATTTTCACGTACACTCGTCTTAGATTACTACGAAGTCACTACGATTTAAATTTTTCAAGTTTTTAATTCAGGATATTTTGATTTAAAATTTGGCACATCCTTTCATGCGGAATTTAATTTTCCAGATTACCCTAAATTAAAATCGATCAACAAAATTTATCATTGGACAAAGTTTAGATTCTTATCGCTTTTAATTGCTTGTTTCTGTAAGATATATACATAATCAAAAATTTGTTGTAGCTATTCTCTCGCGTGCCACGTTTATCAATATCACGGAAATATCATTCATTGGAAATGAAAAATTTATATGCATGTATATATTTTTATGGGCGTTTCAATATCTGCATTTTTTCCTCTGGTGCAATGCATTAGAACATTGGATGTACTGCTGAAAAAGCGTTTGCGTCAGGGAAGAGGCGTGGATTGAAAAAAAAATATTGATAAAGCCAAGTTTTATGCTCGTTACCTTAATTGGATTGAAAGCAATTTGAATATTCAATATCCGTAGATATCTACCAATATTTCTAAAGATATTTGTTGCATATAAAACTCAAATGCAAGTCAATGTTCAGAGAAAATATCAAATTCAAATATTTCCTTTATTTTAGGTTTATTTGTTTGAAGACGGAATGTTTCAGGTGTTTTGAACAATGTATTTTAGAATTATTCCTTCAATTGTTGGAACAAAGTAGACACACATGATCATTCATATCTTTTACTCATCAATTTCTTTGTCACAACAGAAGGTCTGCATACATAACACGAGCATAACAGAACAATCGTTACCCTTCACTTCTGAATTGTAATTCTTGCAGAATTTCTGCTCCTTCGTCTTCCCACATCAAGCTGTGTATTTTCAAACCGATGGTCAACATAGTTTCATAGAAAATTTGTCAATATTTATAAATGCATCGTTCGTTATATTTCTTCCTATGCATAAAATTGTAGAAATCATTAGATATATTTTGCACATCACAAACCAACGGAAAGGAGGTTATATCATCTTATCTTATTTTTAAATTATTTGCTGATTCGAAATAGCAGTAATGGTAGACAAACTTCGAAGCTACAAAGGCTAGCATTTATCGCGTACTTCTTTCCTGCTAAAATATGTAAATGAGGTTTATGCAACATCTTTCAGTCGAATTTAGTTGTGCCCATTTATGAATTAAAGGTCGAAAAGCGTTCGGTACGTTCATTAGGAATTTATTATCACTGCTTTGTCAGAAAGAAAAGCTAATATTTGTTTTTACTATGTATATATCTTTTTCTTTTTGTATTAGTAATTTATTATTGAAATATTAAGTTCGAAAAATTAAGTATCGTCAATTTTGAAAAAAAAGAAACTTAACACTGAATTGAAAAATACGAACATTTTTTGTCGTTTTGTTACTTTTTACATAAGAAATAGATTTGAAATTATAATTTTTCGTATATTGCAATGAAATTATAATTAAAGTAATTAAATGCATAAGAAGAAAAAGTACATAATCTATACAGAGTAGAAATAAGTAAATCATGGTAAAAACAAAGGTGTGATTGGTTATTGGATACTCGTGTGATGTAATTGTTACTTTCTCGATACATATGCTTTTAATTCAACAATAATGTCAATCATAGCATTGTTACATACATTTTACATTCATTTGTGAGACAATGGTAATAACGCGATAATGATAATCGTCGTGAGTGAGTTATGGTCTTGAAAAACAGAGCTTTAAACGAGGTAATATTAAATAAAGCCATTAGACTATCTTGAAGATGCATTATCCTAGCTACAACTTCATTTAGCTTCACATCTGTCTTAATTAATTAATCTTTTATACATATTCATTATTTTCGCTATTTCCATTTATTTTTTACTACTAAATATATATCTTCATTCAATGAATATAAATAAGCTACAGGTATATACTTTCAGAATTAATTAACATAAATAAATAATTCTAATACATAAATACATACCATATATACTTAATTTTTAACATGCGTTATAGTGTAAGATTATTTTCAAGACAACGGGTACATTTTATTTCGTTGGAATTAAAATAGTTATTACAACACAAATTTGTTCAGCATTCGTCACTCTTCACACTCTCAAATCATTCTATTCTTGTCTTTCAATCATCATATCCTTGCAACTGTATCCTCGCATTATCTTGAATTTACTCAATTACTCCTATGTAAATCAAATTTAACTAGGTTTAATGATCGGTAATTAACTGCATAAATAAATGACTAATTAACAAAAATTACGAGAAGCGATATGATTTCTGTGTTAAAAAAATATTGGAGAACATTCACTCGAAAACTTATTAATAGCATAATAAATATTCCACATTATCTCTTCACCAGAATAATTTAGCAAACTTTAAGCTGTAATAATTTTTAAACCATACTCTTGAAGCACAAGTATCTCAATAACTTTTCGTAAAAAGCGAAATATTGCATCGATTAATTCAGTCTAAAGTTTTTATTTAAAAAGTTTCAGCTCTATCTTTTGGACGCATCTATGCATAAAAATGCATAAACAGAATATGTTACGCTTCATACCATTTCATTTCCTTTATGATACTTTTCCCCATCTCGAGCCATTTTGAAAATGTAGATCGTCCCAGTTGCATGTGACATACGCACATCTATTTCTGTGTATCTATTTCCACATGTTACATTATTGTAACATGTTCCTCATAGTAAATTCTGAAAATAATGGCACTACTCATGTTGCAAACGAAACGCAAACAGGACGCGGCCATTTTGAGATCGTTAAAAACTGCTGAATAATCGAAATTCATAGCAGAAGACGTAAATACGCCCATTAGAATTCATCAATCCTTCGGTCTTCATCTTTTTGTATCACTTATAATTTTACCTGGAATGTTGTATGTGAAGTTATTTATGTTAATAATCGAAACTCGATAAACACATAAGGCAAGATAAACACACAAATAAAAAATTACTGTCAATAATAATGAGGCTTATCAATTCTCATCTTCGTAAATATGTTGTTCGTTAAATGCAGTATCAGATTCCATTGTTTTCAATATCTCGACAGGTATTCGCTAAATATTTTAATTTTCCCTGTTCGAACGTGATTGAGTTTCTATTTTTGTTTCGTCGTTCACGGTGTTTTTCGCGTTTATTTTCTCGTTTGGAAACAAAAGGGTACAGTTGTACGCAATTTTACACGTTAGTTAGCTTCATTTCAAAACCTGTTCACACAAATAGAAGCAATCCGATGTAAAATATGAAACGCGAGAGTCCCATATTTACCGAATACGTAACTCGTCGTTTTTAATGGAACTTTCCGTGGAAAAGTTAAAAGTAGATCTCGTTCGCGAAATAAACTAATAAGGTGTACTTTGGAACAATGAAATACACGATGCTAACATCAAGAATCGGGAATATTGCTGTCCGAATGCGGAAGATTTAGGCCAAAAAGGACGTTGAAGTGCAAGTGACGTACTTCATCCAGAAATAATGATTCAACTTCTCTACGATTCCTCGTCTTTTTACGCTTCGTTACATTTATATTAATCTTCTTACTTTATACTTTCATTTGTTTGAATTAGAATCGACCTAGTTGAAACTATTTCTTAGAAACGTTTAGATATGTAACTATAGGAACTATAGAAATTCTCGACTACTAAGTTGACTAGTTGATAGTTTAAAAGAAACTCAATTGTACTGCGTACTTTAAGAATGACGATAAATAGGGAACCACTGTTATATGTTAACTTATTACCGATGACCTTGTGATTATGGTATTAGGATCAAGAAAGGAAAAGAAAACCTTGACAATAATTGATATACGTGAAAAAATGATTCCAAGGTAATTACTGCTCGCAGATTA